AAGAACAGGAAACTGAGGCTACAATTTATACAAGCTCATCGAAATTGGACGGTAGGGTCAGAATTTGGCGTCTACAACATGAAAGCATGGATCCATCCTGCCTTGTATCAACGGTTCAGGCTGGTGGTGGTGGTGTCATGGTGTGGGGAATATTTTCTTGGCACTCTTTGGGCCCCTTGGTACCAATTGAGCATCGTTGCAATGCCACAGCCTTCCTGAGTATTGTTGCTGACCATGTCCATCCCTTTATGACCACAATGTACCCAACTTCTGATGGCTACTTTCAGCAGGATAATGCGCCATGTCATAAAGCTGGAATCCTCTCAGACTGGTTTCTTGAACATGACAATGAGTTCACTGTACTCAAATGGCCTCCACAGTCACCAGATCTCAATCCAATAGAGCATCTTTGGGATGTGGTGGAACGGGAGATTCGCATCATGGATGTGCAGCCGACAAATCTGCGGCAACTGTGTGATGCCATCATGTCAATATGGACCAAACTCCCTGAGGAATGCTTCCAGCAACTTGTTGAATCTATGCCACGAAGAATTGAGGCAGTTCTTAAGGCAAAAGGGGGTCCAACCCGTTACTAGCATGGGGTACCTAATTAAGTGGCCGGTGAGTGTATATGCAATGAAAGAAGAAAATGTCAACTTAAAATGTGATGAAATTCCAATTCAAAAACTGTATTTGTGGTTTGAAACCAATAATTTCACTTTACATGGAATTGAAAATCCCTTATCATGGAAAAAAATGAACTGAAGCAATTAGTTGCTGAGTAAAACTATATTGTCAATGGGGGTTTATCCTTTCACATGCTGTAACTCACGTGAATGTGACCTCATCACCTGACTAATTTAAAATAGGAGTGGCTGGCACTGCAATACCATTAGCAAGGTTTTCTTTACAACTAATGCAGTCTACTTAGTTTCAGAATAGAACTATGAGATATTTCAGTTTCTTTAGCATCTTAAAAATCAATAATCATGTGGTCAATAGATACAGTTGGACCAAATGTCTGTTTATTCTTTGAAATAAATAGAATTTTACATTTTTGTCACTATCATATTCGAGAGTAAATTTATATTTATATGGAATGACAGAGATTTGGTTTTTACTGTATTGAAAAAATAAGTTATGTTATATATTTGGTGTACAAAATTGCAGTCATCTTTTTTTTGGGTTGATCAAAATTATCTTTTTTTCAGTGTGTAAAACTGTTGATGAGAATCATATAATTATTTATTCTCGATTTATCCTGACCGGTGACTGGATCAGTGAAAAAAGCTTATCAAAGTTAAAAAACAAATTGTTCTGTGGGAAAGCTGCTACTGATGGCAGAAGATTTAGAACAAACTAGACATTTTAGTGTTTGTCCATAGTATGAAGTATAGGCTCAAGATCCACCTCAATTTCATTGACGTTGCAAAAGACAAAGAGCAAAACCTCAGCAGGTAACAGAAAACCCTTAGCAAAGCAAAGTGGCTCTCATATAACATTTTAAGACCTCAGCCACTCTGTCATAAAACATGCTGGATCTTTAAATGTAGGCTGGAAATCTAAGAGTTAAGATGAAGGTCTAGGAAAAAAAAAACTGTATAAGTGTTTTGTAACTAGCAGCTAGATCTGGCATTGCGCTAAAATTGGGTAATTTAGCAATTATAAATTTGTTTGTTTAAAATTAATTCGTTAACTGTTTTACAGTGACTGGCACATCACATCCCCCATTGAGTGTGGCACTGCCTCTTCTAACTACATCATATCAGCAAGTACAAGCTTACCAAACATCTAATTATTTTTCTGTATTCGACTAAATTTATAAATAATGAATCCATCATTTTAAATACAGACATATATCATTTGATATAGCTGGAACACTAAAAATTCTATATTTTTAATGTTTTCCCAAGATTAGCAGAAAATCCAGTAATGGTAAGTTCCTCAGATGAAACCACCACTATTAATCAGTCCATCCATTTGATCTTTTACTTAGCTAAGATTGGATCACTCAGATAACAAGCTTTGGAGGCAAACTCCCATCCCACACCTCAGCAAAACTATCCCTGGTTTCCATAGACAATACGTAGTTTCTGGGCCAGAACAGATTCACAGTCCCCTCAGCGATTTCTGGGTCTATCCTGGACCTTTCCCTGAAAATGGACGATGACTGGAAAACCCCAGGGGAAGCAGCCATGTTAATCAGACATCTGTATAACCTCAATTGACTGATTTGAGCTCACCCTAAAAGATCGATTAATGCCGGGACTGCAGAGAAAAGGGACTATAATTTGCATTATGATCTTGCAAAACAAACAATGTTCCTGTTTTTGGTCTCTTCTCTCTCTGTTAATAGCCCCACATTCTTATCTGTCTATGTATCTTAAGTTACAATTGTTTGAAGGTCTAAATATGACTGAAAACAGCAAACTTAGTGTTTACCAGCATTTATCTATGATGCAGATAGAAAAGATGCACTTCTGACTTTGGGGACAAATTTGAAACATTTTCCACACGTTAACATTAAGATGTTTTTAGCCATATTTTCCTTTGAAAGACCAAACAGTCACATTTCTCCTTTCAGATACGCACTGCACCATCCAGACAATCAGTATCAACACCTCAGCTGTAGGCTGTGTTGATCAATATTAATTGTAGTTCAAGATGGGTGTTACACTACAGGTCAAAGCTTTGCTATATAAATCACCAGCTGAAAGGTGACTGTCTGGGTCTCTGCAAAGCTCTCTACCTCAGGCCCCTCCGTGCTTTAATACCCCGACCTGCTAGTTTAAGTATGATTTATTTACTGCCTCTTATCTGGTAAACATTGACTGGTGCAGAAACTGGGGCGGCTGACTCAAACGTTCAGATAAATATTCAAGGTTAGAAGCTAGGCTGAAATTGAAGCGTTATTTGATTCAAACTCATACAGTTTATTAATTACTTTTTTTTTAATCAACAGGTTTAAAATATTTTACTGAGTGAACAAATTAATGCTAAAAAAAAGGGCATTCAATGGCAATAATTCTCTGAAAGATGCCATGCATCCCTAATTACAAGCATATGGGGATCATGTTAACAACACTCATATCGTTAAATCCTTAAATCCTGTATTATCCTTTATATGGTGAATATTAATTGGATTAAAATACTAAAACTTGAACAAATGACTCCCATCTGTCCCTGTTTTTGCTCCTCTCAGCAAGGTGGACTCATGACCTTTCCAGGGCCTACGAGAAGTCTCCCCTACGTTCCAGTCAGGTCATCTGCTGCGAAGCTAATAGAGGGTTTATAAGACCAAACACACCCCAACTCACCACTGACCCTCTGATTGTATTCGACCTCTAGGGGTGCATGAAAAAACACAAGGCGAAGACAGTCTTAATAAAGAAAAAGCTGTTGGGATGAAATAAGAAAAAATAATAAAGTGCACTGCCTACATTTATTGGCAACACAGGTAGTCTCTTCCTGCAGCAACATAAGCTCATGAAGAATAATTTTGAAAAATCACAAAATCAATTCTGATACATTTATTCAGAGAATAAGATTTCCTTACAAATGGCCTCATGGTGAAAATTAATTTCTCTAAGAGTTATTAGACATGACAACTGATTGTCTAGGGCCGATGACAGAAAAAACATTTTCTATGTGACCATTACAGATGTAATGTGACTCTGTACTGCTGTGCAGTTGTTTTCTTCAAAGGCTTAGGAAACCTAATGATATAGTATGGCATCTTAAACTCTTACAAATATTGTATTTCTAGAAAAGGATCCAAAACCTAAAGCCAATAAGCAAATCAATGAGACAAATGTCGTAAAGTGGACCCATGTGTGTGTAGAATCTAAAGAGAATGGGCACAGAATAATGATCAAAGGTGATAAAGTGTTATCCACTTGACCAATGGGAAAAAAAGTATTGTCATCTAGGCCCTTTTAAAACTGTGTGTTTTGTCAGATGAGAGAACAATAATGAATATGTGGGGAAGCAAACTTGGGAGATCAGTCATCCTGTGAGCATGCCTCCCCTGCAAAGAGTCGAAGAACCTTGTTAGACATGTGGCCAAATCAACAATGGAACAATGGTCAACACTGGAATAGTTCCCCAGAAATAAAATCAACCTCCTTCCATGAACAGACCTGAATCACATGGGGAACCTGCTGAGGTGAGTTCAACACAAAAATGTTGATTTGGAAAGACTCTCATAAAAATGGACAAAGATCCATGGTAAAAAAACTTTAAAATATCGCACTGCAATAACAGAGTGGCTAAGCGTATGTGTCCAGAAATTAATTGTACTAAACAAGCTTGGCCATATCTAAATAGTTAAATACCTTAAAGCTCCAAAACTGAACAAACTGGTCTACTGGTCAATTAAACTGAGCTACCATTGAGTCTTTTGGTAAATATCGGTCTATTTCATAAAAATAAACCCCAGAGTTGAAATATTTCTCCTCTGTTACAGAGAAATCAGCTCAAGATCAATATTTTGCTCTCAAGCATGCACACACAGAAAATATTTATCTGTGTTCTCTATTTCTCAACATCATTTATTTTGTCAAAGTATACTTCTTAAAAGAAAGGATAAAATAAATACTGTTATACTCATAAATCAGGGTAATTGAGTACCTTCTTAAAACAAGTTGTTTTTATCTATGCATTTATTCTTGTCTCTAATGGACAAATATGGACAACTAGTGTTTATGATTGAGAACAGAAAATGAACAAAGAAAATAAATACTAGCGTCATTTTGTTTTATCTACCTGACCCATTCAGGCTTAAAGCATGTAGACAAACTAATCAATAGTCATGTAGACAGTATTGCACCTGAGCTATTGTAACATTAAAAAAAGGTAGTAAACATTGGTAGCATACCTTCAAAGATGCATCAACACATTCTATCATTCCATTGTACTTTAACATATTGTTTTTGAAAAAATGTTCTGTGATTTTACAAAAGAGAAAACTTAATTCAAAGATAAGTTGTTTTTTCTCTTACCTGATCGAGAGTTGTTTGGGACACAGAGTAGTCCTCTACACACAACCTGTGCTGATGGCGGGTGAACTGGCTAAAGATTTTAGCCAGTGCTCCCAGTTTGTATGGGAACTGGTAATGGAGTGTATTGTGATGTTTCTCTTTGAGAATGCTGTCTGGGAACTTCTTAAGGACAAAGTCCTCAACTGGCTTTAGAGCAGGAGGGGAACCACCAACACGAATGACCACAGTGTAGCCATCACCAAATCTGGAACACAGAAGAAATTGGGCCTTTGGTATAGATCATTTCTACAATATTTTTTAGAACATGAATATCTGAAAAGTGTGTTAAGCATTTGCCTTAAGCTTCTCCAAGCTGACATTTTTGAGAGCAGGGGTCTTCAACTTAACTCCTCAGAGCCACTGTTTATGTATTCTTTTTCTCATCAATAGCTACATTTACATTCGCAAAATTTCCTTTGAACTGATCTAAACCTTGGTTGATTGGAAATTTAAAATCCATGTTAACATGGACACTAAATAAAACAATCCGATCAAAACATGTGTATACATGTACTAATCGTTTGATTAAATGAAATTGGGTTAGAATCTTCAGTCTAACACATTTGCACAAAACATTTTGATCTTATTAGGCCTTCAGTCTCATAATTTATGACCATGTAAACATAGTTGCTGTATGCAATGACCAAATTAACCAGAGTTCAAGTATTTCCTTTGTTTTAACTTTTAAAATTGTTTTAAAACGTAAAGTATTTTTATGAATGTAAATATGGCAAGTTGATATAGCAGGTATTGTCTAATTTATTTTTGATTGCAAAATCAGTATAACCCTTATTTAAATAGGGTGTTGTCTTATGTTACATTCAAACCAGAAACGGTTTCAGCAGCAAAAAAGCCACTGCTGCTACATTTTTGAAGCTTGTACACAAATGCACCTATGATGCTCCTGATGCGCGTCCAGTAAATTGTGTACAGATGCAACATGCTTTTACTGAATCTGGTCAAGTGGGTAAAAAAGAATTTAAATATATTTCTAAGCGAGTAAGTCCACCAATATTGTGCCTTGAAATATCATTTCGATGTTGGAGCGGCGCAAACCTCCACATACCGGCGGTGCACTGTCACTGGGAATCCCCAGCAGCAGCTGCCTCAGGCCGGGTCGCCTCTTGGGGGTTTCTCCTACTGTTTGTGGTGGCGGGATGTAGATGTTAGAGTTTTTCAAGTATGTGGTACAAACTGCAGGCACCAGAATAATAAAAGCAAACATATTTTGCCGGCAGCTTTCGACATTTTAAGTTAATTTAGACATTGATAAATTGTTTCAGGGGAGATCCAAGATCTGCGGATGCTCGAGTTGGCAAAAAATATAATTTTTGCTGCTGTAATTATGTCTATCTAATCAAAGGCATTAATACCACTGATAATAAAGTGTGAGTCTAAACAGTGACAGTGTTATCATTGGATGGGAAGGATATTATGAACTTTGGTAAAAAAAAAGAAAGAGCTAAATTAAACATACAAACAATTTCTTTTCATCAGCTAAAAACATAAATACACCCCATAAACTGTTTAACATTATATAAAGAAGTGGTAGACATAAATGTCATAAATGAGACTAAACCCTACACTTATTTAGAATTCAGTGTCTTTAAATGAGTGTTATATCTACTGAGCAGCAAATAAAAACTCTGGGCCTTGTTATTTTGTCATTAGTACTCCTATGACCCCTTGTTTTCTGCCTAATTAATTCCCTAACGTTGTATTTACTCTCAGAAATGTCCATTGTGACTTGCACTGAGCTTCATGTAACGAGTGATGCAGGGCCCCCTCAGTGGCAATTAGAGCTTTGCTGGATAAACCAAGCCTGCGTGAGCCCTGAGGGAGGGAAAGAGGAAGTGAAGCACCGCTGCTACTGAAAAATACAATGAGCAGAACTCATAGGTACAGTAGCTTGGATCCTTTAGTTACAATATGAAGATTTAGAGATTAAGATCCAAAATATGAAGTGATCTTGTTCATAACCTTTTCTTATACAAAGTAGCCTTGTCGTTATTCCTCCACTGAATAACACCTTTATTCCACAAACCATAAAAATAGGATTCCATATGGGAAGGTTTCTATCTACATAAAGAATTTGAAATTTTCCAAGCTCCAACTTGGCTGAACTGTTGGCTACTCTTGCCATTACTTTGTTAGTTTTATTTCTAAACGTCTGTAGCTCAAGTTTGACAGATTTCTAAAGACCAATATATCAAACTTTTAAGTAAGACCTGCACCGTCAGGACTCTTCATTGCAGACCTGCACTGTAAGATCTCCTGCTCTCTCAGAACTGTAATTTTTTTTGAAGCCTTTTAAAAGTAAAGGGGAAATAAAATAAAAGCTCTTATATCGGAAATATTTTATGATTATTTCTTGGGTTGTCATTATTCAAATATTTTTGTCTATTCATGTGTTTAATAACTTATTTATATAATCTCTTTCCAGTTCAACTGAATAAGGGTAAAAAGTGCAAGAAAATGTCAAAAGAACAAAATATACTTAGTTATTTTACACAGACATCTGTTATGTGTGTTTGCAAGGATTATATTATATATTCTTTATTTTATTTTAGTATTGTTTGTTTCCTAACTTTGCTGTTGGACCACATAGATATGCCAATGGAGGGTGTGTGATTTCAAATTAACTTAGCTTTGCATTTTCACAGGTAATTACTGAATACCTAGACACATTACCAAAATAGCCAATAACGTTAGGGTTTTTTTAATGCCACAACACTGCAGAAAACAGTAGACACAAAACAAACTTTTAAATGTCTATTTATTTTTATTTCTTGGAGGTGTTTTTTATTGTCAAAACAGCTGTTTTCACAGCATGATGTGTAGCATTTAACTTTTGGTGAAGTGCCAGTGGGAGTCACAATTGAGACATACGTCTGTAAGAGACAGATAATGCTTTAACAAGAAAATCACCCAAAAATTATGATAAAACCTGGTTTTCTTGGTCTTTAAAGGCACACCAGAGACTTTGTGACCTAAAGAGTCAATGTATGTGAGTTGTTTTAAATGATTCTTCAGGCCAATATACAGGGCTTTACGCTGTCAATGCAACAAGTGGGGCTCTCCTCTTCAAATACCACCTATGTAAGTTAGGAGAAGATGCACCATCATTGACCAGGTCCCCTGGAAGACCGTATCGCTTAACGGCCACAGGTTCTTATATAGTCATGGAGCCTAATCTTTTGTTGTACTATTTTTCTGCCTGCTCAACTACTGGTCATGGCTGAGGCAAGGAAAAAGTTTAAACCTTCTACCTGCAAACGATCGTGCCTGAGGTAAAACAAGAGTCGATCTTGGAAAGGAGTTTGTTTGTTGCCGCAGGTTGAAAGAAGAAGCCAGATGTAAAACTGATTCTCATTGCACACAGTCGAATATCTTTGTTATTTTTTTTTATGTTTAGAGGAAGCAAAATAAGGGTAGAGAAAGTTGGCAGGCTACAAACAAAACCTACTAGGGGCACTAGAAGTGAAAGCTAAAGGTCTAAAGCCCAGAGTGGCCAAAAGTTACACTGTGTGACTTTAAGTAGGGGGAAGCACATTTAAGTAAGCACTTACTGCGCAAAAAAACACGTCTTCTTCTAATAAAATCCAACAGCACATACATGCTTCTGTACTTGCTATTCCTAAAGGCCTTGAATAAAATGTCTGGAATAAACATCTGGTCCTGACAGTACAGGAGACCCTGCATTGTGCAGATCTTGAAGGTCTGCAGCCAGACGCCTCTCACTTTTTTTTTTTTGTTTTGGTTTGGATTTCAGGCACCAATTTGAGGGAAATAGTGTTTTATATGCTCATATTTAACTTTTTCTCCAAACCCACCAAAATCCAAGTTCTCTCATCCTGTACACAGTGTATTGGCTCCTTTAAAATAAATCATAGATTGGGGGAAGAAAAATGTAGATATCAGTAAATTAAGCCTGCATTGCAACACATGGTCATGAAGTCTAGTGTTTGAAACAATAAATTAGCTTTTAACCCGTGATTTAAAACTGCATAAATCAAGATCTAAGCAGCTTGGGGGTGAATTTAGCTTGAGAGGAAATAATGAATGGGTTGTATTTACAGTCATGACTGCACATATTGTCATGGCTAATCCTTTCAGAATATTTTACATTTCAGATATGATACAGCAGCTCAACACAGCATGGCAGAACAACTGTAATTTCTGCTGCATGGTCCCCCCTCCTTTCTTCATTTTCATTATTCTGCCTCAATCTTCCTCTCCACCCTGGTATGCGGGAAAGTCGTTCGTCCATGTAATTTAAAACAAACAACAGCTAGACAAAGATAAGGGCATGACAGGCTGAAAAAAATTCTGGTGCCTTCTTTCATATGGGGGTGCCTGGAAAGGTCATCCTTGCTGCTCGCCCAGTTTCAGTGTTTGTGTGCACGGGAGGGAAGGAGTAACTGAAGGGCACGGGGTCATAGTGGGGCTTGGGTGGTCTGGCACTCGATCAAGCAAGGAGTCACACAAGAGCCTCATCAGTTGCCACAGTTGGTGCTTTTAGAGTAGGGGTGTTCCAATCTCACATCATTGAATTCATAGTCATGAAAGTGTTCTATCCATGGCTAGAACCTGATACCAGTGTGGGGGGGCTACATTTTCCCTGCAGTACTCAGCAGTTCCATTTGCAAACACAGATGCTTGAGCTGTCCCCGATTTCAGCAGCTTCCTCATCTCATTGCCATTGGCCGTCAACTTCAGCGGCTTCTTACACCCCTCTTGGCTCGTCAAAACTTCGCTGGCTTCAACACACCCTTGTCTGCCTCCTTGGCAGCCCCTCCCACCTCCACACAGATGAGACATCAATCATTTTTTTCTTCTCTTTTCATTCTCGTTCATTCCCTCATTAAACTGTTCTACCATCCCACTTTATGCCCCATTCCACCCTGCCTCGATCAAATTCAGCTATTGAATTTGCTTTTCCTCACCTTTTACCTCCCCAATTTGAACAGTCAGTCAGTTCACGCAAGAGACTCATTGCCATTTTGGATCATCTCACCCAAAGAGCTTCATAATAAATTTCTATGGGCCAGACTTTCAGTAGTTTTAGCACCTATAGCATGTGACAAACTCAAGGAGGCAATGCGAGGAAGTGGTCATGCAGAGCATTGTAGTATTCTTCTTAGAGTTACAATTTGAATTGTTTTTGAACACACTCCAATCCCTCAAAATCAGTTAAAATCTAAA